TACCTCGATACAGAAAATACTAGTCAGATTTGGATTATGTTTGAGACTAGAAAATTTGTTTAAAACAGGTGCTTAAAGCAAGTAATTTTGTTGCATCAGAACCGTCAGAACTGCAGAGTACTATGGGCCTGGTTCAAAAGCAAATAAAATTACAAAGGACAAGACAGAGGAGGAAAAATACTCCAAGTAAGTTCAGCTGAAGTAATTTGGAACCTTATATGTATTCATAGCTCAACATTAAATTATCTAAAAGCTACAATTAAATAGTTCTATAGTATTTAAATGAAGAATTGATAAAAAGCTACAGTCTGTGGACTCTTCAACAAAGGTGCTGGATGCCAGGTGTCCACCAAAGCTGTTCCATCACTCTCCTCCTCAGCTGGACAGGGAAGAGAAAATACACTGAAAGGCTTGTGGGGTGAAATAAGGACAGGGAGATTGCTCACCAGTCACCATCATGGGTAAAACAGACATGTCTCAAGGACAATAATTTACTACCTATCAAATCAGAGTAGGTTAATGAGAAATAACAAAAAAAAATCTTGAAACACCTTCTCCCAGCCCCTAATTTCTTCCCAGGCTCAACTTCATTCCTGATTTCTCTACCTCCTCCCCCCAAGCGGTGCAAGGGGATGAGGAATGGGGGTTGTGGTCAGCTCATTATGCGTTGTTTCTGCTGCTCCTTCCTCCTCACTCTGCCCCTGACTTCAGTGTGGGGTCCCACCCACACGAGACAGTCCTTCATGAACTTTAAAAAGTTTCAATTACGCATGCACAGTTAACCCCCAGAGGTCCTAAAACCTGGACTGGAATCCCACAGGCTTGCCTTCCACTTGCCATTACTGGGATGGTGGACAGAGAAGAACTGAGATGCTGGACCAGAATACAGAGAGACTGTAATTATTCCTTATCCTTGCATGGTATGTGTCAGTGTATTCATTATTCCACAAAAATATTGAAAACGGCCTAATCTTCAACGTGACTAAGACTTACTTGTCTCATATGACATTCTCTATGAAGTATTATGAATCTGTACATGTAAAAGAAAGCTGAGTTCCTGATGCAAGGTATTACTAAAATTATTATACACAGTATTCTTTATAGACATTAGCATTAAGCAAACTAAATGCTAGCCATATTGATTATCTTTGCCAGTCATATTTGAACAGTCTTGGAAAACTTGGAAAACTGAATAGCTTTTTTCACAAAGTGCTTTACTGTGTTACTGGGTAATGTTTAGATTACCCACTTGACTGACCATACATAGCTACGAGTTACAGGCTGTAGGCATTTGCAGGCATAGCCATTCAACAGGATATGATGGGATCACAAACACTAACAGGAGTCTTTAAACATTATACTGTCTAAGGATCACCTGCAATGACTATGTCTGCTGTGCAAAGAGAGAAGTGAGAGAAAACAATGGCTCTGCATTTTCATTTCATCTTCCTATGGTGGTTGTTAGTGCAGGTATGCTAAATCCTGCACAACAAGATAGCTCTTACTGCTTTTCAAAGGTGTAAAAACACATCCACAGGCCTGCTTGCTTCAGACTGTAAAAATCATATTTTTGCACATATGATAAATGTTACTTTGAGACAGTTTATGTTTGCTTCCATTAAAAATTATAATAAAAGATGAAATTGGGTCACAGGAATTCATAGAAGAACGGAAATATAGTCCCAAAAATAAGAATTACACTGGAGCCAAAAGCCCATTTTGTAAGAAAGTGACTGGAGGGAGATCTAAATTAGACCTTTCTCATCTGCAGGAAACCTAAAGTAAATCCTTACATATTCTGACTGCTTTGAACATTGGTTATTTGTTACAGGCTGGACTGGGAGATGAAACCACCTGAATATAGACCAAAATACAGGCAAAGACATAGTGTTTATCAGATCAGAAGAAAGGAGCATGACTGTGACTGAGTGGTGAGGACTCTTGCCAAGTGTGAGGAAACTTGAGTTGCAACTGTACAGAAAATCTCTACTTGGTGTAAAACAGACATGACAAGCTATGCTGACTCCTGGAGCTGAGTTCTTTTCTATTTTAACTGCACTGCTCTGCAGAGAGAACATCTCAAGAGATGTGAGATTATTCACCACCATATTCAACCTAAGGGATGTTGTGTCACAGGCTTGTTGTGACAGTAGGAAAGGCAGAACCAAAGAGCCACAGTGAAGTCAAGAAATCCAGCCTCTAAAAATTTACCTAGCTCTACCGACATAAAGCAACTAAAGAAAAAATTGAGAAAAAAAAAATTTATGTTGTGCTGCTGAAAACATCCTATTAAAATATTTTCTTAAAATAAAATGGCTCTTACCAGTACGCATGAAATATAATACTCTCTGAATTACACTACAGAACATCATAAGACCTAATTTCTAATAATTCAATTAGTAATTACCAATGTGAAAATAATACAGCTAAAGATATTCAGCTCTTAAATTAGACTTGAAGTTCTCTGCAGGAAAAAAATAAAAGTTGAACGTAATTAATATGAGCCAGGTTATTGAAAAAAGGCCACTTCTTTTAGTGCTGCTTTAGGTTTACCCAAACATTAGCAATGCAGCAGGTTACAGAAGAGATCTCTGCACAACTGCAAAATGCTGCACTATGCTGCACCAGTTTTCTGCTGCAGCAGCTTTGTTGCAGCAACACAAACTATTTTGCCTATACAGGAAAGATAATATTCATAGAAATAGTGTCAAAATTTACATTTCTATTATCTAAATATTCCATCTTGGGTAGTGAAATGATATCATAAAATGATATTAAATTTCTTGTAATAGAATTACATTAGTTTAACTTTAGGGTTAATAGAACAGATCATACTGTTAACATGTTTAAATAATTATTTTAAAAGATTTTGAACAGATAAAAGATTTCTAACTACAATTCACTTAAAACCAATGTATATCTGAATGGTTATTTTAAATCCTTGAGCCTAAACATACGACTCACTTCAACACTGCTGCCAGTTGGTTTAAACAAGTTAACTTCAAAGTATATATGTTTAAAAAAACACCCTGCTTCCCCTAATCCTGAGTTCAGTGATGTAGACGATAGAATTATCTGCATCTCTGCATAGGGAAGATGATGCTAATAAAAATACAGACTGAGAAATTATAATGGCTAGTAGATAAGAAAACATGGGGCAGTAGACACAAATTATAAAAGAATATACCACATCCTTAGCAGAGAATCAGTGAAGTAGAGGACATGAAATTATATTTCACCTTTCTGGTGCTGGACACATGGCAACTTAGCTGGTAGCAATTTATTTCTCACTACCTTATTCATTCAGCTTTCTCAGCTTTAGCTTGGTAATGAATTTATGAGAAACACTCCTGTTGGAAGGCAACCATTCAACCTCAGACTGTGAACCATGTGATCGCCTGTGGATCCAAGACAGCTGCCAAACTGTCACAGATGGAATGGCAATAGGATTCACAGTTAGACAGAAACACAATTTAAGAAAAATCTCTCATTTCTGTTACTTAACCTGACTTAAAGTAGCAGCACAAACTGTTATTGGAAGGATGTGGAAATCTCTCATATGACAAAGAAACATCTCACAGAATTTTAACTACAAGAGTCTCCTATTTTCAAGATTATAATCCATAGTTTACAATCAATACTATGACAGACCAGTTCAGCAGAGTAAGAGTCTGCATGGAAATGCACTCGTTACCTTCTTCCCTTCACACAGGAACTCTCCATCTATTCTGATTTCATGGAGGGTAGCTAAGGACTTATTTTCAAATACTAGCATTTTTAATAACTGCAGCTCTTAATACATTATGTAAGTATAGATGAAATAAATAAAATAATCAGCAGCCTACAGTGTATCTGACAAAAACAAAGGCCTTTGAAGTTGATGTTTTCGTAGAAGACTTGAAGATGAAATAAAACAGAGCTACACTGAGTCTTGGTGCATGTTTTAGTTTTGTAATAGAGGACTTCCTGAGCTCAGCATATTACCCTCATCCTACTGATCATGAAGACATCCAGAATCCAAATCTCTCCGTCTTTTCCCTTCTTAGACTGACAGAACATAAGTTATGAGAACAAGAGAGACACTCAGTATTTTCTGGCCCTACAAAGGAAATGGTGACAAGAATAGCTGCCCAGTTGTGCCATCAATAGTGACCAAAATGAGTGACCCAGGCCACTCACCCAATGAAGTTTCTACACACAACTCTAAAACAAATAGGTGAAAAATCTTTAGCATTGTTTATTATTCCAGCACTACGATAACTGCACTCTCACTTGTTAAATGTATCCAAATCTGGACTAGACTGCAAGTAATTAGTAGCTGAGAACTCGTGACTATCATATAGCTATCTGCCATATCTTACAGCTCAAACAATAACAGAAATATTTAAAATTAGTGAATTTTTAAATTAAGACTCGCAAAAACCCTGGAATGAACTTCTCATTATGTTCAGAATTTCAGTATAACATGCCTAAGTAGTTACATGTTATTCTCCAGAGAGAACAGCATTTCTTTCAAAATTTCACATTTCTAATAGTAAGGGTAGAATTCTGACTACTGGGAGAATTTGTTAAAATTTCTCTTCCAGATAAAGCATAATATGTCACCCATACTTTTTGTGAAGCTATTATATTAGTATTGACCAAAACTAAAACTTTCGCTTGCAGTGAACAGCACCTGTAAGAACTCTTTGGAGTTGGATTAACAGTATAAATAGAATTAGTGAAACTACTCCATATGTGCATACTCTTTGAAACAAACTGAATTATATTATTGTGAACGTTCTTAGTAATTCTTTAAGTCCTAAACCAGTATCTTTGTAACAAAATATAATTGCTATTATATTAAAACGTTCTACAGAGAGAAGTGAATATATTCCAAAATCCCTCCATTTTACCCTTATTTTCTTACAGAAATTCCTATTTATGAAGAGGCAGTTGGGTTCCCTAGCTTATAACAGACACATAAAAGATTCAGAGGTCAATGAAAAATGTAAGAGTACCTGGGAACTGATCATACGTTGTGACGAACAAGCAATATTAGCAGGCAGGCCGAAGAAGTCAGGTTTGTCATCTTCTGGAAGGCTTTCAATAATATGACGATAATCCTGCATGAGAAGAAAAAAGTAAACACGACAGATGGAACTTCCTGTTCAGCTCATGGAATTAACAGTGTATGCTGAAAAGAATTTAATTAAGTCTACTGCATAGCACAAACATTAGGATAAGGCACATGACATATCTTGGTAATCTTGTTCATAAATTTCTTAATTTTAGTTATAAAAAAAGTATCTTCTTTTATACATTGTTTCCACTCTAAAAGAGTAAAAAGTAACTGTGATTACAGTGATGCTATCAACTGAAAAGAAAAATATGCTAAGACTGTCTCTGAAAAGTAGTTACAATAACTCTTTTGAAAACTTTGAACTAAGATTAATGACGATATAAAAAATAAAAATTATTACAGCATTTGGAATTCAAATAGTAGACCAAAATACATATTTATAAAATGAAGAGCATAGTTCTGTTTAAATCTATGAAGATATCACTCAAAAAAAGTGAAACTGGATAAAAATATGTTTGCACAATCACTGGAGATGCAGAATAGCATCAATAGTGGTTATAGTGTAATAGTCACTAGCGATGCTGCTCTTGTACAAAACAGGAAGAGTCCTTGCAGACAAAGGTCAACTAATGGTGCTGGATGTCTCTTTTATTGTGGCTTTAAAGGCAAAAATATTTACTGTTTAAAAGTCTGGCTGCACCCTATTGTGTTATAGCACGTGCGTTTTGTCCTTTGCTTGCAGGAGTATGTCCTAGGTGTGCATGATTTACTTTGACATGTAATCTCACTTCAGAGTTATATCATCAGGAGCAGATCTCTGCCCCAAACACTGAAGGAACACTGCTCAGTAAGAGCTATTATTCCAGTTAACTTAGCTTTGATTCTACTAACCGAAACTACTTGCAGTAAAGTATTTAAAACACAAAAGTATAAACTCTCACATAAATAACCATACAACTATAAGAAATTGAGTGATATTAAATTGATATTAAATGCAGTGCAGGCAAGAAGAAAAGTTCATCTATTTGACCATGTTACGTACAAGAATGGAGACTAGCCTGGTTTGTTTATTCCTTCCCTCTTTAAGATATTAACTCCGCACACCTATACAGAACAATCATCATATCTGAAGTTAAAAAAATAAATTAACCCAAATCCTGAACAGTCAGAATCCAAGTAAAGAATGCCAAAATGACAGCAATTTATTTCAACTGGCATAGTTCCATTTATCTATCAGCTCATATTAGAGGACTAATATGGAATCCTACATTAAAATGCAGATGAATCTTAATACCAGTAACAACAACAATAGTATGTGAAAGGATAGGGACACATCAGTTCTTTAGACTCTGCTGAATTCCCTCATTTACATCAAAGTAACACTACAGGACAACCAGAATCCATATTTATCTCCCAATAAAAAGTTATATATCCTCCACAGCTTGTTAATAAATTATGTTGATAAAATTTGTAAACAAGGACATATATTTTGATATCCTTTGTCACAAATTGACCCAAATTATTTTGCTTATTTCTTCATAGCTATGCTGCTCTGCACCATAGTCCAACGAGATATCACAAAAAGGAGACTGACCAAACAGAGTAGCAGAATAGTTCTGACAACTTACAAATGAGCGCGTCACACAAAAGTCTTCAATAAATGGCGGTATCTTTTGGATGGTACCTCTGGTTTTCTCTGTTGAATTATTTTGAAGAATAATTCTTGAAAATAACAGATTTTAATTTCTATATGAGGTGACAGAAGCTGTATACCTACCAAAATACTGCAGGAATTGGGCAAAGAGATCGAACACGGGAAAGTTGTCATCCTCTTGCCTCTAGCATTTAAACCGCCAATGACTTGTGAATTGAAAAGTTGCTCCAAGTAGGACCGAAGAACCCTCATATCAAAGTAATTGTCTACACGGCCCCCATAAATTGCGTTTTCAAACAAGCCGTGCACAAATTCCCACTGAAAATCTCTGGAACCTACAAATTAATTAATATTAGTTTTTTATTGGTCACTCTGAACATTTCTTGTTGTCATTGCAGTCCTTCAATGAAATAAAAAAAATAAAACCACATCAATTAATTAATTTCTAATTGTTTTTATTCTATTTTACTAAATAAGAAAAGATGCAAAGACTTCAAGGACATTTTAAATATCTCTTGTTGATAAAATGAACATTTACTGTGCTTCAGATTGAGTTATTAGAAATATTACTTAAGTGTTGAAGTGCCTTTTATTGTAGATAAGCCAACCGGTTATATGCATTTCAAAATTTAATCTATTAAAATTTTAATTATGTGCTCCTTTGTCATAAATAAAAATAATTTCCCTTGTTCAGAATTTTATATACTACTTTGTATCACAGTAACACCTGATCTCACATAATAAATTGATTCATGGAACCAAAATCAGATCATGCTCAAAATAGATAACACAACTGGAAATGTCATCTTTCAAATACAAAGAGGTCCAGGACAGGTACACTGCAAATCATTATAAATCACATAAAAGACCAGATAAAATTAAGCATATTAATATTACTTTCCTGGCCAGACTGATGTTGCAATTAGATAACTCTGGCTTAGCTATATCCCACAGGTTCAAAATGACTTGTTTTCCCTCCCTTCTACCACGGTTGTCCAAAATAACAACATGGGACAATGATCTACTTATACCCTAGAGCTTTCACAAGCAGGTAAAAGCTTGATCAGAAAGGTACTTCTTAAAGTCACTAGAAAAAAGGAAGCAGCAATTACTTTAAGGTGGGTTTGTTGGTGGTAAGCATTGTTTCCAACTGCTTAAGTCATCTCTTTTTAAAAAAAGTTATCTTCACTGCAATAGTTAATAATTAATGATTATTATTGACAGTTAATGATTCAAACTCTTTACATTACTGTAGGTTTCAAGTCTGTGTAACTAAGGTCCAGTTCCAACAGTACTAACCATCCATAAATCTCTTTAAGTCAATTACAAGGAATGATCTCTAATAAGAGTTCCTAACTTTGAAATGATATAAAATGCAGGCTTTAAACAAAATTACCTTTTTCACATTAACTAGTATTAAGAATTGACCATGCTACTTAACAGAACAATGAAGTGGGCTCTATCTAACAGTGAGTTTCAATATGAGCAACACATTCATATTCAATTCATATTCAGTTCAATATGTGGGGAGTTCACACTGGGAAGGAATGGAGACAGAAGACATCATCTTCCAGGAACTCCTGTATTTCCTATTTATTCCTCTGGACTCAATGGGCTAAACAGAATACTTCTTGGCGTGAAGAAATTACTGGTTTACCCAATCTCCCAAAAATGGAATTATTTACCCTGTTTCTATCTCTGCTTACTAGCAAGAGCTTTCCAGCATCTCCACTGTTATCTGAGTTTTGTAGAAAGATAAGCTCTTTATACAATACCTCTACTAATGGTAAAATGGGACAGGTCCCATTTGAAACCAAGGTCAGATGGCACAAGGACACCTGCATCTATACAGCTGAACTATCTTTCACCCTAAAACAAAGTAGCCTCCTACCCCCAAAGTAGCCTACTGGAAAGAGTCTCCAGGCTCTGCTATCTGCCAAACCACACATTGTCACTGCCTACAAGAATGCCAGTCTGCATAATCCAAGTATGGGAAAATACAAACCTGATCATCATGGTATAGTTTCGAGGCTGTGTCCCGCCCTTACCTGTTTACTAACACAGCTATATCCTCCAAGTCTGGATCTACATCTAGAAAAGCCTAATAACCCTAGGCACAGCTGATTTGGAGTCAGACTACTTCCCGTACTGAAGTAGTTACCTAATGACTTGGTCATGTGTTGGCATTTGTGAAAATGTTCCAATGCAAAATGTAAATACCTTCAAAACAGCCTCTAAGAACAGCCCCACTCTGAACTCCAAAAGAAACAATCATGGCAAGTAACAGATCCATAAAAACTACTGTGAAAGTTCATAATATTCTAGAAGTTTTAAATGAGAGACATTCAGAGGGATTATGCCCCAGAGGTGAGAAATCTTTCCTTAAGAAGTTACTTACCTTCAAACAGACTATCAATAATGTCAAAACCAGCACGGAGATCAGATAAAGAAAACTCATAAAATTTGGTCCAACCCTGCCATTAAAAGAAATCCAAAGAATTTAATTAGTCACATGATGATCATGAAGTAAAACACAAATATTATGCAGTTACTGAATACTGTATAATAACACTGAATTAAAAAAAAAAGAGATGAACTATTTTCTCTAAAGTGCTTCCTTTGAAACATTCAGCAGAGGTTGTTTGTGTGTATATATATAAAATTGTCTCTACTAGTGTAATTAATCTTACCAACTAGAATACACTGAGTACAAGGAATATAAACTTAAGATTATGATATTTCTCAATGGTACTTATGTCAACTAAAGCTTGCTGACATCTTTGACTAGATCATGCATAGAATTGTGATTTTATTTCTGAGGGCTTTTTTTGTATATCAGTTTCCTTTGGATTTTCATAAATAGGTCTGATTCTTCAAACACAGACTACATTATACTTTCATCATTTTACTCCTTAATTCATGTCATTCATGTTTATTTTAATCATTCTCAGTTTGCATCTCCTTTCTGTTCTTGGTGGCATTACTCTCTATAAAGCATTAATGGGTGATGCGTATAGAATTCCCACAAAAACCTTTCAAAATAAATGGGTAAGTATAAATATTGATATATGATGCAGAATTTAGGAAATCCAGATCTCAAAGTTATCTCCTGTTGCTGTACTTTCTTATGACTGTACCATGGCTGCAACCTTATGGCTGCACATGGATCATATCATAGCACCAGGAGCATATGGCTCATGATGGGAAATCATAGAATCCTTTAGGTTGGAAGAGACCTTTAAGATCACCAAGTCCAACCATTAAGTCAACACTAATAAGTCCTCTGCTAAAACAGATCAGAATCTGTCAGGGTTGGAAGGGACCACAAGGATCACCCAGTTCCAACCCCTCTGCCATGAGCAGGGACACCTCCCACTAGATCAGGCTGCCCAGAGCCTCATCCAGCCTGGCCTTAAAGACCCCCAGGGATGGGGCCTCAACCACCTCCCTGGGCAACCCATTCCAGGGTCTCACCACTCTCATGGGGAAGAACTTCTTCCTCACATCCAGCCTGAATCTGCCCACTTCCAGCTTGGCCCCATTCCCCCTAGTCCTGTTGTTACTCAATATCCTAAAAAGTCCCTCCCCAGCTTTCTTGTAGGCCCCCCTAAGATACTGGAAGGCCACCATAAGGTCACCAGGCCACAATAAGGTCACCAAATGTGCAAATGTGGCAGGTAACATGCACATATCCAGTGAGATGGATACAGTCTCAGGTCAAGACTGCATCTGCTCCACAAATAAAAATCAAACCATCATCCAGTCACCCTGAAGGTCATAAAATGAAAAGATGCTCCATTCTCTCAAGAATGTTCAGTGGTTTTTTTTGACAGATCTGTACACAGACCCAAAACAACCTGTAACTCATTATAAAATACAAAAGCTTCTGGCTGGAATTAACTTCAGTCCAGCAATATTACAAACTGTTTATCTTAAATCAAATATTAAACCATCACTAAGCCTGCACAAGACAAACACAAATACAATAGAATTAAGGAGAAATCCATAATCCTATCTTGTGTCACCTGGAAAGCTGGTGGTAAGGGAACATGAATGTGAAGAATGCCAAATAAGAGTTCATGTGTCAGATTAGTCCTTTAAATATTTTCGCACTTATTCTACTTCTTGAACACCACAGTCGAAATATGTTACTGCAAGGGGCAAACAACCTTACAAATCACAAAGTAAAAACTAGCAAAAAGCTCTCGACATGTTACAGGCTCTGCCAAATCAAATCTTGCAGACAACAGGTTCATTTCACCCCTAGTCTAAATAAAATAAAAAAGACAGAATAGTTCTTTGGTTGGTGATTTTTTCTGTTTTGGTTAATTTGAGCCTCTGCAGGAGAAAGAATTGCTTGCTTGAATCAAAAATTTATGTAAAGAAAAAACATATTGTTGTCCTGAAAACCATTATAAACCTCACAAGAAATAAGGATTGTTCCTTCTCCTTGAACAGGGTTTGTGTGAAGAAAGAGTAGACAATGTTGTCTCCTCCTTCCCACCAAAGCGTCTCTTAATTCCATGTCTTCCATTCAATCGTGTATGTTTCCAAACAACTTTTTCCTGTTCCAAACAAAGAGAATTCACAGAATCTTTTCCAGGGCTCCTCATTCCTGCGTCAGTGTCAGCTAGTACACAAATCACTCCATGCAGGAAGTAGCAAGCTTTCAGATGGACAGGAATTCAGGTGACCAAGATCTTATTTTCCAGTGAATTCAAAGACAGTACTGAAGGCACAAAGCAGAAGTATCCAAGTTTTTCTCATCCTGAACACGACACAGTACAGACCTGATGAAAAAACCTTCCAAGTATAAAAGCCAATAAATGGGGTAAATTTTTAAAAAGGTAGCAAAAAAATTATTACCTGGGGGATATAATTTCTTCTTTCCTGGCATACAGCATGAAACCACGCTAAGCAAAAGAGAGAATGTGCTCGAGACAAATTTCCCTTTTTATTAATTTGCTCAGGTGTCCAAGATTCATAGGTTCTCAAGAGATTCTTTTTGAGGCCTGGAGGTGCCTGCATTGGAAGGAAAACACTGTTCTAGACAGAAGACCTGATATTTATAGTAAACTGATGACTTTAAAAAAAAAAAAATCATCCACATTTTGATTGGTAACAGGTAAAGGACATATCACAACTGTATAATAATCAAGTATTATTGCCAAGTCATTGGCTACCATTGCCCTTTCATGGTAACAAATATATTTATTACAAATTAAAAGGTAACAGAAGGATTCAGAACATTGCAGAAGTTCCAACTATTCCAAAAATAGTGAGACCAGTAACTTCAAGAAGCTAGATGAAATGAGATGATCTGCATAGTTCTGTAGATTCTGTAGCACTGAAGACCTCAATATAAGCAAGAAGGTATATGAGAATTTTAACAATATCTTGAGTAAATACAAAGGTACAACAATTTTGGCTTCTTTAAAGTCAGCAACCTTGCACTTTAAAAAGTCAGAGCTTCCTGGTTTAGCTGTAGGCAAAATCTCCACACTCCACAACCAAAGGAAGGGTTACTAGCACCCCTATCCATGATTTCCATAGTTCACAGTAATGCACGATTACAGCACTTTCCAACAACCTGGAACTTAATCACCACTGAAGAAATGTATAAAAGAATTTGGAGCACAAAACAGAACAAATACTTCCCTCAAGTAAATTTATTTTCTGTTCAGACTTTAAGTTGGTAAAAATATCTCAGAAGAAATTTTACAAATCTTCCCTTTAAAGCATAGCTTCTGGAAACTTTCAAATATGCATTACAAACAATCATCAAAAATCTTTCAAGGGAAATTCATAGCATTTTTTGTATTACATCTAACTGAAATAGAAGGCAAAACCAGTTATGTAAATAGTCCACATTCTTCAAACTTTATTCTATCTAAACATATAGTTTACTATACATGCAAGTTTATTCATTGCAAACATGTAATAAAGGCTTTCCAAACAGATCTTACTTCATAAGTTATTTTCAGACTTGATTGAAGCAAAATTGGAGTAAATTTTGGGTGAACTTCAGTAGTAAGCCAAAGGCGAAAGTTTGGTTGAGGCTGTAATGTATTCAGTTCCTATTAAAGAGACATTATATATTGAAGTAGGGTTTGGGTTTTTTTTTAATATACAGAACAATATTTACAAAATCATAATATCCTAAATTAGAAAGTTAGGCCTGCCTAAAAATTCTTTTCTTGTTTTTACAAGTAAGGTTATTCAAAAGACTGTAGTTTAAGATGTGTTGCCTCCAGACACTCTATATACTATTCAAAGTTCATCCTAGCTGTTAAAATATTTGCACCTCCCTCCCAGATCCAACATTTAGAGGATAAAAATATACATCAGTTCTTCACTCCTTTTAAGTAAAAAAATACCAGAAAGTGACATCTCAGAAGACAAAGGCTTGCAACGTGGGCTGCATTTCAACAACAGTTCTCAATGACTTCGAACAACTGTATAGCTATATTAATTTATTTTTCTTTAAGTGTTTATTATATGCACACTTCACGTATCAGAATCTTTAAGTCAGAAAAATGGAGTTCTAAGAGAATAAATATTGTTAACTGTTATTTCAAATACAAAGGCTTCACCAAAAATATGTAACTACTGAATGTATGAAAAATCTGCTAGTGCTTTATCTGCATCTTAAACAACTGTATCTTCCATGGAATATACCAAAGCTGTTTGACAACTGACTTTATGTCAACATTTTATTTACATGTCCTGGAAGAAATATAGCCCAAAAGTATCTTTACAGATTTTCTCACATCTATTCATTTTTATCATCTCTAAAAGATAATCATGATAATTTTGTTTCCTGTGGTTTTAGTAAAGAAGAAAATTCTGTCAGGCCATTAATTGTTCTGCTCTTCAGGCAAAATGACAACTATATGTGGTACCTAGAATCACAGAACTGTTGAGAATGGAAGGAACCTCTGGAGGCTGACTAGTCCAACCCCATGCTCAAAGCAAAGTCAGCTACAGCAGGTTGCCCAGATATGTATCCAGGCAGGTCTTATCTCCAAGGATGGAGATGACAAGCTCTCTGAGCAACCTGTTCTAGTGTTTGACCATCCTCACAGTAAAAATCTTTTCTCTTCTGTTTAAATGGCATGTCAGTTTGTGCCCAGAGCCTCTTGTTCTGTCACAGGACACCTCCAAGAAGAGTCTGAATCTAGCTCCTTTACTCCTTCCCATTAGCCAATACACACTAAATGATAAGATTGCTCCCTAAATTTTCTCTTCACCAGGCTGAACAGTCCCACTTCTCTCAGTCTCTCCTTGTGTGACACGTGCTCCAGTCACTTCATCGCCTTTGTGGCCATTTACTGGAGTGGTTCCAGTGTGCTCATGCTTCTTTTGCACCAGGTAGCCCAGCACTGGACACAACACTGCAGATGTCTTACCAGGGCTGACCAGAGGAGCAGGATCACCTCTCCCTCTGCCTAACGCAGCCCAGGAGGTCAGTGGCCTTTTTTGCCACAAGGGCACTTTGCTGTCTCATAGTCAGCTTCTTATCCACCAGGACTTCCAGGTCTTTTCTGCCAAGCTGCTTTTCAGCCAGTTAGTCCCCAGAATGTCTGGGTGCCTGGAGTTATTCCTTCTCATGGGAAGCACTTGACATGTCCATTTGCTGAACTCCCAAGGTTCTTGTCAGCCTACTTTTCCAGCCTATCAAAGTCTTTCTGAATGAAAGCATACTCAACTGCTGTATCAATAATTTCTTCCAGTTTTTAATCTTCTATACTTGCTGTGGATGCACTCTATCCTGTTATCCATGTCATTAATTAAGCTGTTAAACAACGTGGCCAGTGCCTGGAGCACACCACTGATGACTGGCCTCTGTCTGTGTTTTTTACCACTGATGACAAAGCTCTGAGCCACGCAGATAGGCCAGTTCTAAATCTACCTCACTGTTGTATAATCAGGCCTGTATTTCATCAGCTTGTCTATGAGGATGTTATGGGAGACAAACTAAGATATGAAAATAATCCACAGCCTTGGAAGCAGATTTAAGAAAAGAAAACAAGGCAATATACATCCTGGTTCAAGCACAATCATGTGCAGCACACGTCAGTTGTAAGCTGTGAAGGTATCATCATACCAGTAAAGCTCACAGCAACCACAAGTCTATTTCATCTTCTCAAATTGAAAGGTTGTGAGAACTAAATTGATGGAGCTGAATTATAAATAGACAAATGTATCTTCACAGGATGTTCAAGCACATGAATTACATAGCCCCACACTAGCTAATAATGTGCAAAACAGACAAGGGCATGTGCTGAGTCAAACATGAGCAAATCCCAGCCTATATTAAGCTCAGCAAGTTTAACAGATTCAGTACTATGGTCTTGAGGAAAGAACAAGAAACATCTGATACATATCTATATTTTAATACATACAAGATCTGAAACTTTATAATTCCTAAGAGGCTTACAAACACTTCCTTACTGTTCACTATAGTATTCAGACCAGATGATGCACATCAGTGTTATCTCACTTTGCCTTTCTATTTTTTCAGAATGGATTATAAGAGTATTAAAAGGCACATGACGCCACACGGTCATGGCTAGGCAAAAGACAGACTCCAAGCTCATGTGCATAGAGTACACTTTAGAGACAATTATAGAAACTGGAAAATTAAAGTTGTAATAACTGTTGATAGGCATTCCCCACTTTTCTTTTTTTGAGATAGTTTTTTTTGTGGATTTCACAGTGATATACATGTAAATTCACTTTGACTTAGTTTGCAAGTTAATGATTTTACATGCTGTAAGTAAGAGCATGTTTCTATAAAACATTAAACATTTAATCACAAACTAGCAAAAACCTCTTAGTGATTTAGACACAAGCTACACTTTAAAAAAAAAGAACTACTACTGAAAGTCCTAGAAGGGGGGAAAAAAAAAAAAAAGAATAAATTTAAATGTACATAGATTTAGAGTTCAGAAAACATGGGCAGCATGCCATAAAGTACCAGAAATTCTAACAGAAGCATTTGTTCACTCCTTGTGGCAGAAATAACCTACACTGTCTGAAAATTAAAGCACTCACACAAAGGAAGGAGCTGCTTAGATCTGAAGCATCTCACCTTACACTCATGACTGTGAAAACTGCAAAGGTTTATTTTTAAACTGTTGGAATTTTAAACACTACCATGGAACTGCCTGAAATGCTTCAGAAATTGGGCATACTGACTTTGTCTGTTTTCCAGTACATTCTTCTCTAGTTGCTCTCACCTTTTCCAGTACAGGAAGCCAAGACGTAACAAGATGCAGGTTCTTCAAACACAGCCATTCTCCATTGCCTGCACATTCTTTTAAAGTTTGAATAGCCAGGTCAGCTTGGCCTTGGCCCATTGCAATCTGAAAGGACAGACACAGTTTTATCAGGAGTTTATCAGACCTCATTTAATAGCTAAATACAAAACGGTGTTTCTAAGTTAGAGTGCATATGTAAAAAGATGTGCTAAAGACAATAAAAATTTTCCCTAATGTAATAGGTTACTAAAATAGGGAAAAGATTAAGGAAATTGTAGTTTCTTCTTTGCAGAAGTTTCTTAAACAGAGTTTCTTAAGAAAAAATATTAACTTGTCCTTTTAAGGAAAAAAAAAACCACATAATTTGGTTACAGTGCTGGTATTCCCTGGACACTCAAAAAATAATTTAAATATCAGTGATTTAACTGTATTACTACAGAACTGCTGATACAAAAACAAGAGATAAATGAGAACAATTTTTTTTTGGACTGTAAGTTAGGAGTACTTCCTTTGAAGAGAAATGCTCAAATTCATACCAAGATGAGTGAAAAAAAACTGCTCTCTTTCCAACTGGGAAATATGAATAGCTTAACAAGCAGTCTTTTCTTATTCTTTTTTAAACAAATTGCAGCTAAAATAAATTTGGATCTTCAAAAGGAAACACAAAGATCCAAAAATGAACTTTCAGATAAATTAGTGAAGATTGAAAATAAATAAAGAAGGGACTTGTTCTGTGGCACAATTACTGCAACAATTGATATTAAGACTATCTGCAGAGTACATTCACCTTAGTTTTAATTCGAAGCCATACATAACAGAAAACTTTGAACCAAAAAAAAGTTGAAAAGGAAGTGGTCTTAAGCCCTTCTGAAAAGTCTTGTTTTAGCATTACTGCTATAGCAAAATACAACTATTGTGACTATTATAACTTCCTCAAATATCCCTTAAGAGGAAATTCATCCTGTCTTTTATCCTAAAAATGCACTGAATCAGAACAGCTTGGGGCCTTAGTTTTATATGATGATACAGAGATATTCTTTGCCTAAATATAACTAAATATAGGATCTTGGAATAATTTAAAATAGCCAAAAGAAGACAACTAAAATTCACCAGACAATACAGTAGTACAGCACACTAAATCAGTGGTAAACAAATACATACATTTGTTTAAAAAGACTTGAAATATAAGATTTCTGTTCAGGAACTCACGTCGACAATTAACTGGTTAACATTTGCCTGTAAAATTTCTTTAAATATCTTACTGATTTTCAGAAAAACTAAAGTATTCACAAACACTGGACAGTTATGTTTTCTGTTGAAAAAAGAAATGGGCAAGTCCTATAGCCAGAGGAAATTATGAAGTCAAATTTTCAGTGGGTTATCTTTGTATTTCAATTACTCCACACTAAAAAAAGATGATATTTCAGCATATATAACAATTCTTAGTCTCTTCTGTTCTCTTTCATCTACCTTCTCAATTTTCCCTTCTCAAAGTTAGAGGAGTGTTGTCATGTAGATTCTCCTTCTAGGATGACCACTGTGTCTGTCTTCCCTAAGCCATTTTTTCAAAGGGATCAGAAGCTAGTGGTGAGACAGGTGGGAGTGACAAACACATAGCCACCAAACTATTCTTTTACACACGAACTTCCTCAAAACTCAAGGTAAACCAGATATTACTGATGTAAAATTTTACACATTGTGGTTTTCAATCATCATACTTATCTAAGACTGACCTGATGGTAGCACTCAGTATTTCTTTCAACACTGGCAAGTTCTTGCAACTCTTGAGAGGGATCAGCACCAGGAGAAATAATTATCAGTATGGGCTCAATTTCCAGCGTCTCTTTAAACAGCCGTTTCAAATTCAGAGGTAATGGAGATAATTCTTTTATTCCTATAATTAGAATTATTATGGAAATAAAGTCACTACACAGGATGGAGTGCTTCATTAACCGCTTCAGAGGCCATTGGACTGTCTAAGCTCTGTTCAATGGAGACCATAAAACTGGTTCTACAAGGAGAAAAATTTCCATACAATATGCAGGTAGAAGGCACCCTATATTGATAAGAAAAAGACACGAGCACCAAAACAGTGCCAGGACTTCCAGCTTGACTGCAGTCTTTTTTAGAGTCTTCAAAAATACATACAAAAAGAGAAAAGCTACAATATGAGAAGCTCTGCTATTAGCTAAAACTAATTACAGTGTGTATACCCACACAAAGAATTTCTCCTTTATTGTCCTGAAAGCCTTCATTATTAGACTTTGACTTTACACAGTTCTTGGTACTACAATTACTTTAGTCTATTATTTGCTTTAACATACAAGTTAAACATTTAGAATGTTGATATAGTATAGGTAAGGCATTTATATGAGCAAAAAGCTATGTGTATAAGTGTGTCCTAAACTTAAGAAGTGTTAATCACATATTTTCAATATTAGAATGGTCATTAAATTTTCAACATTTTAGACTGGTCCTTAAATAGTGATGTGTTAGGTGTAATAGGAAATCACAACGTAAAGCAAGACAGAAGAGCCCAAATCGGTGACATCTATGCCACATCTACTAAAAAAAAACCAAAACATATTTCCCTGAGGGCATGGTCTGCTTTCAGACTTGAGCCATTATCTCCACATAGAACAATACTATATAATTTGAATGCAACAGGTCAGGTTGGCAAAGGTTAGTACGAAGTCTGGGTTCTCTGCATGTATCTGCACAGAGACTCTAACAGATGGAACTAAACAGATAAAAATCACTATCAATCAAAACATTTTAAAAACATTTGAATTAAACAAGATTAATATTGGAAAACATTTTCATTTTACGTTTATTAGGCTTGCAGAGGTAAATAACCAGAGAAATACATAAATTGAGGCCATAAGGCAATTGAGGAGTTCTGCTGCTCACTGCCAATAAGCCCTAAGCCCTAGAAGATCCAAATGACACTGAAATGAAAGTAGAGCTGCTCAATGCTGGACTGAAGCACGCTCAGTGAAGATGACTCTTCGGGGACTTTTAAGTGCCAGAATCTCAAAAATGTCTGACAAACATCTGCAAGTTGTTTCTCAATAAATCCTGTATGGGCCAAATCTGGATGCATTTTCAAAAGGCCCGAAAAAAGCTTACACTGAAATAAAGCTGCCCAGCACATTAGCTCTCTAGTCATTCCTCCAGACTGAGCTTATGGTAACATTTTTCACAAATATAAGCTACTCCGAACTCACCATGCCCTTCACTAACATAAGAAATGGAAATAGCTAAGCAGGAGGGGGGGAAAGAAAGAAAATAGATAAATTAGCTAAGAAAAAGAAAAGAAGCTATATATAACCAGAGATTGGTTTTGGTTTTTTTCAGCTACAGTCATAATTGAAGCTACATGAGTCACTCTAAGGACTAAAAGAAAAATATGAGGAAGTAGAACACGATAGCATTCTCTAGGGTAAAAATGTTTATTTTTGTTAGCTTTTATGGAAGAGTATTTACAATGCTGAAAATGGAAGATGGTATTATGCCTATAATTAGAAAATCCAACATCAAATGTTTCTTTTTATGGATGAGGACCACAAGAAAGAAGTACTTGTGGTGTGTTCTGAGATCTGGGCTATAAACCACTGTCTTGCACCTTAAGCAAGTTTCATCTAATCAAATCCCCCTCTGCTGAGTTGTATTCACTGTAACCATTTTACTGCTGAAGACTCAAAATATAAATGTTTCCATATCAATTTAATATAAAAAACACTACATAAAGCATTACTAGAACTTAATCACTAGCTACATAAGCGATAAGGACATTGAGAATCTTGACAACAAATTTTAGTTCAAAACTGGATTAGAAGTAAGGTTTTGGAAAGGTAAATTTTAAGTTTTATTAACTTATTTCACTGACGAAAATTATTTTGAAAATCTCCACTGCTGTTTCAAATCCTGTGGAATATACAGGACCAAAAATATCTGTTGAAGTCAACAGGCAGCAAGGATACAAAAAATAAATGGAGAACCTTCTGAACCACTAATTAACACTGTAGCCTTGCATTAAATGGGGTCTAGAATAAAAAGCTATGATTGGGCAATAAACAAATGTGTGTACACCTGCAACTTCTTATAATATGGTATTTAGGGTAATGATGATAACTTAAAAGAGGTGCAACTGTTAACTAACTGCCTAGCCAAATATATTGTAGCTCTCTTGAGATGCATCATTTACAAAATTAATACAGTGTAAGCATTCCTCCACAAAACTGATTTTTTTTTAGAAATTTGAACACACTGTTTAGAAAAAGCACAGCTAACCTGAAGGTGATTTTAAGGAAGCTGAACAGAAGTGAAATATAGAAAAACTACAACACAGCCCTATCTATTCCTGGCCATTACACGTAGCCAGGATTACATTTAAAGAACTGGGAAAAAAAAAGACTCAAGTGTTTTCAGGTCAAATCAATAAGCACTCATATTCCAGGAAATAACTATGCAGACAGAGTGGGAATTCCTGACATACTTTTCTGCCTCCATATTCCTTCCTGACAGAATTTTTTCAACCTTACTATCCAAAGTGATATCCTGATGCAAGATGAGATGCAAGAGCGTATGTGAGTGCAAGCAACTTTTCAGAAGTCAAGATGGGGGGAATCAAAGGGTAAAAAACCTAAACATCAAACCTAAACATTTAAACCTAACATTTAAGTACAAAGTTTGGCTGGATACAAACTTCACATTTTTTATAAGCTGGTGAACTTTCCATAACATCAATGAACAACTTTTCACAAAGCCTCTCTACTAAAGTCAACGCAAGTAAATGAATTTACAGCAGCTGGAAGTTGAACTCTAAGTGCTTGTTAAAATTCCTTCTGTTGGCTATCTGCACACAGAGAAACAATGTACAAAAATAAAAGTGAATGTACTATTACTACAGAAAGCAAGGGAGGCATTTTTCTTTTACTTTCACTTCTGTCCTGACACGGCACCAAGTTAAACCAAATAAATTCTTCCTTGTCCTTGTGTAATGGGACCTCACCCCCATGAGACACTTCTAATTAATCTTCCATATGTGTACTGTCATTAACTGCTAAAAACTGAAGGAAAGCTTTGATGTGCTGTATTGCAATATTAAGATTATTTCAACTGTCAGTCCCAAATCTTTGGTACAACAGACCTCAGAAAGGAAACAGACAGACTAGAACAAATAGACAACCATAGTATTGAATCATTCTAAATCATGTGTACTTCTAAACAGACTGGAAAAAATTACTGAAAATATGAAAGAATCTTTTGAGATCCAATGTACAAAATCTCAATGTTTTAATGTTTTTTTAATAGTAAATGACATAAAATAATAGTTTTGAAAAATCTGTGCCTTAAGGAAAATGCTTCAGTGTAAAAATTACAGAAAACCACCTATCCTTTTTAATTAATCCAATGTTCAAGAATTCATGAAAAGAATGATAGATCTTTTATTACATTTTAAATCACTATACAGCATAAACCAAATGCTATAAAATATTTTTAATTTTATTTACTATATAATAAAATAATAGTTATGTATTAAATATATTTCAATATTTATTATCTTAATCATTTATTTTAATAAAGATAAATTATTTTTAAAGCGCTTTTTTACAATATTTTACAAGAAAAAAATCAGCAAATGCATTTATGTTTTTTCAAATCCTATAATTTAGGGATTCCATAAGAACTATAAAATAAAACAGAGGACAGAAACATAGCACAAAAAAAGAGTATTTAATAGTAATGTGGAAACATCATGGTGAAAAAAACAACTTACCTAGGGTTTTACATGCAAAAAGAGACATGGCACTCTGTAGCCTGTCTGGTCGGACAGCCTGGACCACAAGCACCTTAAAATAAAATATATTAAGGGCAGATGAGTTTATGAAACTATATTGTGACAATTTAAAAAGCAAGATTCTTCAAAGAAGGCTGAATTCTTCTCTCTAGAACAAAGTTATTTTCTCTCAATATATGGAGGTATCTGATCATCCCTTTCCAAAATAATCTAATGTAATTGTTAATTCTGCAAGTAGCTTGTCCTGTTAATAGGATCAGAAGATAGATCTGCATCTAATGTTTGTAAGCTGGAACTTCATCTACAATTTTTCAGGAAAAAAGGTAGCTATGTGGGTATCTGGAATGACAGAAAACAAACCTAGCTTTATATCAGTAATTAAATTCTTCACATGTATTTAGGCAAATCAAATTAGCAGTTTCCCTACCAGCTACCTCTTTTTCAGTTAACTTGCTTCAAATGTTCAGTGAAGGCAACTACAGGTAATTAAAGCAACTCCAGTAGAAACAATTTGTTAAAATCACCACCCCTTCTCCTATCCTTTTACTTGCAGGCCCATAAACCACAATTCTGAAGTTACTACCACACTCCATTTTTCAGATCTGCAGTATCTGTTGGTAGATTTGGAGGAAAACTCCAATTTCATTAATTTTTTAAGAAAGTACTACTTTTTAAGCTTGAGATGACTAGGAGCTATTGCACTGTTTTTAAGCTTAATGTACAACTTGAAAGAAACTAACTTCAGCGGCATACAAATCTAACCAGCCACTCCCAGTATGTTTCATCCACAGAAACATCCTTAATACTATCTGTGCATTAGATATATAACACACGTATCTAATTCCAGATTTATTCCAGATTCATTTTCCTATAAAAGCAGAATTTTTATGACAACACATCACACACATGAGAATTATCCTCCTGAACTTCATCAAAGCAGACATGACTCTTTCCAAAATGGTTTGTTCCTAGATTATGTGTATGCTATTTCAGAAATTCTCCTCCTCCATAAAAACTCCAAATATAGAGTCCCTAAGAGCCAATCAGCGTGAAACTACATTGTCTTATAACCCATCCCTTCTTTGGATGTGACTTCATTTTATATGAAGTGACTTGAAAAATCACTGCATCATTTCAAAGTAAGTAATGACAGCCCTTCTTCCATAAATACAAAAGGGATGACATTTTTCTCTTCCAGAAAAGGATCCCTGGGTGGAGGAAGCAACTTGCCTCCCCCAACATTCTTGGTGGGTTCTTTAATCACCAAGCTTTCAGGAAGAGAAGTAGTTCATGACTACTAGCCTAAAAAGCAGTGGCTGCTACTGCATTTTGTGGCTTTCAGTCAGCTGTGTGAGTTTGCACATTTAATGATGAACTAAATTAATGATGCTCAACAAGCTGATAAATTCTTCAGGAGCAAAGCAACCATGTAAGAATTTTAATACCTATTAATAAAATTAATTCTGTGAATATTAATAAAGAGCTTGCTACCTCACAGGGTATACTCGGATGCAGCCAATAGTCTAAGTATGCCAGCTAAACTCTAAGACAATGTAGATACTATCACTGCTGATAATTCAACTAGGCCTGAAGCCTAAATTCCCAAGATGTAAAGCTTACATTCAATGCTGAACTAGTGATTATTTTAAATAATTTAATACAAAAATATATACCTGCTGAAATAAGGAAATCCTTTTCACAATAGTAGATGGAAAGTCTTGCTCACACACAGAGCTCTGAGAGAAAGTCTGCCACAGACCTTCATCTTCAAAGCAAAGTGTCTGATAGAGACCTGGGAGAGAAATCTACAAAACAAATAATGCATATTTATCAATAAAGAAGAACAGCCATTTGGACATTGTATATTTAAATTAATTTCCAAATACCAATATGAACCTAAACCTGTATACACTTGCCTATATCACATAATCAATTTTATCCTCAGAGTTGAAGAAGAAAACTTTTTTAACTAAATTAACCACTTGTTTACCTATTCCCTGGAAACGCTAAGACTGTATTTGCTCTGTGTTTGGGTTTTTTTTTTTAACTTCTAGGTTCTTTATTTTTAAATCCTGGACTCTACCCAACAGTACTCCTTCCTTTAATCATGTTCTTTTTTCCATCAGCACATGCTACTGATTCACTCAGTTACTCACTGTTTGTTTAAATTCCTAACAATCACATTTGGCACAACATTACTGCAATTGTTACTGTTTTACTTTGAAATTATTTGATCTAAGCAATAACAAAATCTGAAATATCTTTAAAGATGCACATGGAAATCTGATAAGTAGAAAACTAGTTTCCCAATTAACAGTTCATGGTTTTTAATGCAATATGAAGTGGTTTGTGAAAATCATTATGCAAGAGAAACCTGCAATTTAAATACTTTTTGCAATTTTTCCTGTGTATATTTTTTTGTCTATAGAAATTGTAGTACTTTGGGTAGGCTTGTAAAATTTTATAATCTCAGTGAATGATACGTTCATTCACATGCATTGAAATTCATTGTTAGACAGGGTAGAGCTGCACATGAAAAAGCTCAGAAAAATGAAGTGACATTTAAAAAGAATTTTTTTTCTTTTTTCGGGTGAGCATATATTAAAACCACAGTTTCAAGAAGATAGAGTAAGCAGTTTAAAATAACAAAATATTTCCATCTGAGGAATAGCTAATTGAGTATTCAAGTCCAAATTAATATCTTCTAAACCCAAAGGCTTTTCAAGTTAAATTCAACCCACCACAGATGCATACCTTCAAAGATGCTACTGCCCAGGCTCGGTCCTGTTCTATCCAAGAGGGAATCTGCTCACGAACATTTCTTTGTGAATCCTTATTGAAGCAAGTTACATTAGACACAGAAGTTACACAAATTCTGGTAAAACACTGTATTCAGTAATAAGATTGTCAAGCTCATGTTTTTAATAAAAATAGGATTCAAAACAGGTATCTTTCTGGAGTCTTTTGCTAAGTTCATAAGTGGCATAACAAAACAAAAGCCACCAATTATTTAAATTTGAGATATACTGTTCACATTAAGAATTGCTTAACCACTTGAGCCTGAAAATATTTTGTCATTCAGAGTATCTCTATGACATGCTCAACTTTAAGTAGTTTTCTATTAAAAACAAATGACCCAAGTGACTGGCTATCTCCACATGCACTCTGTGCAACTAACTTCAAAAAATAACTCCAATGCACATATTCATAGTCATGAAGAAGATAGTTCTTTACACACAGGGCAATTCTGAAGTAATTCTAAGGGAAGCATCACTTTTGGACATCTCTGCACTGGTAAGGCTTGGCCACAGCTCTATTTTTCTGCTCCTTAGATGTTGAGGATGAAAGAAATTCCAAGGATGAACAACACAGCTGAAAGTTCAGTGGAATCTCTGTATTCGCTACATCATTTTTAATTAAAAAAATCTTACAGTAACCATCAACTAGTCTAACAGTCTCTGTATGGAAATGTAGTTGGGTTTCTCAACCACTGATTAAGAGTAAACTTAAATGTTCAGCAGAAAAAAAGGAAAGCTTTCTTGTGAAAGGATATCTTAGCCATGAGTAAGGAAGTCTGAGAAAGAACAAAAGAAGGAAACTGTAGCAGTAAACTTGAGATGTTTGAGAAACAAATACAATTAATTAAACAATATAGTATGACTATAACTATAACTTTTCAGGATTTAAGTAAATATTCCTTATTCCAAAATACACAAATAAGTGTAGCTTACTGATTTTCGTATGGTATCTCCAGTGATCACACCTGTAAAAGTCTCCCATTCCTAGGGGGAATAAATGAACAGGTTAGTCACAAGACATCTTTAAGAATAAAGATAGGTATGTAGAAGACAAAACAGGAAAATAAATTAAAGCCCAGATTCTGAAAGAGTTATTAGACATTTTTAAAACTCCAGGTAATACTACTAGTATGTAATTCCTTTTGCAGAATCCAAGCTAGATGACTGAAGTGCTTTAGAAGACAAAGAAATGGAAGCAGCCCTGCTCTTTCTCAGTGCCCACAGCCCCCACCCAGGCTGCCTAGCCACCGGCTAGCAAAAAGGAACATACGTGCCTGCCAAGGACATACAGAACAGGTAACTACAGAACCCAGGGTTCAACTGTGTTTCATGTGAGAGTAGCCAAAACATGCAGTTATTAGAACATAAGGAGTATTTAATAGGTTGCTATTATGAATACTTTGGTTACATTAAGAAAAGAAAATATAAGTTAAATTATGTATAATTAAATCTTTTAGACTTGGCATTTGTATCCAGGAAAAGATCTCTTTAAGCATTTTAAGACAAATTAGGTAAGTATTTAGAAAACATACTAGACATTACCTAATCCTGTATTTGGAGATGTTAAGACATTTATTTTAAAATCTTCCTAAGTACTGATATTTTACATAACAAGCATCTATAATTCCATGATTTATTTTTTTTTTTTTTTTATTTTCCAAGACAATAGAAAAATTCCAAATGAAAAAGTCAATCAACTAGTAGTACTCTCATATAGACCACAGCTTTTTGCACCCACAAGCCTGGGTCTTCAAACACCTCTCTTTCAATTCAAACTGATGCTCCTCTCTCAATTACAAAGAAAATGCTCATGCACAGAAAAATAAATGAAGGCTCCCCAAATTTTTATGAAGAAGAGCAAAAGTATAATATGTAGAGATATGTAAAACTACATCAGAAAAATCTATACTTATTGATTCAGAAAGGGAATATTTCCACTAAGAGCCGAGGCATTCTACAGTATAATGGTGAAGTTGTATTATAAGTTTCTCATCACTGTGCAAAAAATTTGTAAGTGCAGATGTTTGAACTCTTTGGGGACAGGGACTTGGAATAAACACTCTAACAGTATAATAAGTAACTTCTAGCAGCATTATATTGAAAAACTTTAAAAGAAATAGCTTTTTAAAAATAATAATTTCAGCTTCGTTTTCTGCAATAAATATTTTGTACAAGCACTCTTTTCTTAACAATTTAATTAAATAACTTGTACCTTTCAGAGAGGTAAGAAAATTATTGGTATTATTTGCTTCTTTTAATACTTCAGTACTCGGATACTGCAGGAATATGCGTTGCATGTAACCCAGATTAACCTGGTTAAGAGCTCTAATAGCTGATGGATTGTTTAGCTGATGTCAGCTAAACAATGGCAACTAACACATAAAGCAATATTTACAAACACTTAGGAAGCCTAAGCAGACAGGCTTTAATTTAGTCAGAAAACTATTTGGAATTTGCTGCCCTCATGAGTTTATAAACTCAACTACCAGAAAGATAAAGCAAGACATTTTCAGAAGCTAAAAAGAAATAATAAAGATGAATTAGGGAGGTTCTAATAACGAATAGTAGTCAAGAAATTAATGTGAGGGTTTTTTTATCAGAAAGCTTCATTGCTAAGAAGAACACTATATATATATATATATAAGACTATAATATATAAAGATAAGACTATACAGAGATTATAAATATATAGTACATACAGAACACTATAAAAGAAGAACATTAACACTGTGGGATTTCAATTGGTCAGTCCACATGTCTGCAATAAAAATACATTTCATGCATAACATCAAAAAGTTTCAAACAACCTTTATTAAACCTTACACCTTAAATTCACATCCTTCATATAATCAAGTTCCATTACCTCCTTTCAAATGTAAGATCTGATTTATACTTTTTACCCAACCGTGGACTCTCCTCTAGTGAACTGACATCTAGTAGCAATTGATACTCGCTCTGGTCTCCAGCTCTAGTACAGAAAGACACAGTTTTGTCTCTCCTTTCCATTTAGATATTTTAGATACTTAATGTGTCTTGACTCATGCTAACCAGCCATTTTTAAGCAATTCTATTGACTCAGTTGTGCATACAAATGTCATGTGACATCTCTCAATTTATTTATGAATATGCTAATAATGCAGCACTTGCCTGAAAACTGAAGGGACATCCAGTTTTACTAAATGTGATCTGAACCTGTATCAACTGCATCCCACTATGCTGTCAAAAATATAAACCATTCCACTGAGTTCATCATTTCTCTGGTAGGCCACCATGGCAGAAAGAAACCAATATTTATGTGGCCAGAGAACAACATACAAGAAGGACACTCTGTACAGTACACTTTTGAAGACACTGTTTCAAATGAGGACATTAAAGATCATTTGCCCAGAGACTTCTTAGAGGCTGAAGGATCAATGGCTGAAATGCACAAAAGATAACTTCATTACTTCACTCTTCACTTCATATATCTTCACTGCAGGTTGGAGAATCAGGCTTCTACTTAATCTGTCCCCAGGACTTGCACTCCTTTTCTGCATTTCAATAATAAGGCACAATGCAGAAGCAGTGCTTGGTGACAGTAAAACCATCACTTTACTTACACACAAATATCTTTATCAGACCCCTATTTCAAAGCCAACCATTTACCTGCCTTTCTCATGGCAATCTCCACCATGAACCTACAAAAATATAATGCTAACATCCAAAAGTAACTATCATAGAGAAACAGTAGCATATAAATCTAACATCCTGAGTCCTACAGTTACTGACAAAAACTTTTTATCGACTTATTTACTCTTCATATTAGGTTTAAGTAAATCATTTGGGCATTTTCCCCACTTACATTCTCTTGAAAAAGTTCAGGGTACATCCCTCGCACAAAATGAAGAGCAAACATTAGCTGGTCAGCCTGAAATAAAAGCAATATAAATGTATTTATATGTTCATCAAAAGTGACCTTTCTGGGTTTTTTATAAGTAACAAAATTTTATTAATAAAATGGCTTTGATTCCACAGTAATGACTTAATGACACATATCCTAATTCCAAATTGCTACACACCTCTGCAATTCAGAGACAAACACCCAACTCCTGTATCTGAATCTAAATTCAAGTGAAGAAGAAAAAAAGGCTCTAGTAATAAAGCAAATACACTAAACAGAATTCATTATTTTAAACTGTGCATAGGAAAAGCTTGAGATCTTCCTATAGCAAATTTTTGAAACAGAATATTGAACCAAAACAAAACAAAACAAAATAAAACAAAAAACAAATAAACAAACAAAAAAAATCCAAATATATAACTGTAACCTTCTGGCTTTTTTCTAGGTATGTTGCATCACTTGAATTTCAACAAGTCTCTGAGCACTAGAGCAATAACTCAGGAATAAAGATTAAACAGAGCCACAGAATGAACTACAGAAACATTCGAGACAGTATTTTTTATAATTATTTATACTGGCTTTTTAAAACTGGGACTCCTTCATCCTTACACACAAGTTTCACGGACGTGTTTTACCAAAAGCTGTTCTGGAAAGCACAGAGTACTATGTAATTAAGTTGATGTGAAAAACTGGAAGTTGGTACTCTGGAAAATCAGGACCAGTCAGGAACTTAGACTGAGGTCTCGAGCTTCCAAAGTCTGGCTGTAATCTGGAAGATTCATTCTACCGCACAAGCGAAGGTGTATCTTCTCTCTCTCATTAAAAGTTTAAGCCAGCATAAGGAATGTGGTACCTTTTACTCTCAAGAAAGTGAAACATAACTAAAAAGCATAAAGCACAGGTGAAAGGGAAGAACAAAAGAACCACCAGTGACGCATGGGATTAAGGCTGCAAAGGTGACATCAGATTCAGACAATGAACACAACACTTCTGCACTCCTACAGAAATCTGTTCTGTTCTTGACAATGTTGTCTGAATTTTCCATGGTGTGGTTTTACACATGCACACCCTTTATGTGCACTTCAAAATGACAGCCTTGTTGTCCTTAGCTTCAGAGAATTACCACTATGAAGAATATTAAATTTCCAAGAATACTACTGAAAATTTAATTGCCTGGGACTTCTCAGAAGACATAGGATCAAATATGGGGAAGCATACTCTAGAAAGTATTATATACATTATATACATGACTAATATAGGCTTTCTCATCTCAATGTCTATTATATTTTTGAGGGTAAAATTATATTATTACTATTTTCTCAAATGGATGCCTTTTTACAAGCCTGACAGAGCAGCTCTGAAACAAATATATAAGAACATAGAAAAACAAAACAAAACAAAACAAAAACAAAACAAAACAAAAAACAAAACAAAAAAAAAAAAAAAAAAAAAAAAAAAAAAAAAAAAAAAAAAAAAAAAAAAAAAAAAAAAAAAAAAAAAAAAAAAAAAAAAAAAAAAAAAAAAAAAAAACAAAACAATGTTGTTCAAGATGTTCATCATCTTTGGGAAGTTTACTCATGTGTAGTTAAATTAACTTCAACTGCATCTGCATTCTGAATCATACACATGTATTATTTAATAATTTATCTGGTGATCAAGTTCCAGAACTATGGTTGGCTGACGAAAGGGACATATATTGCTTAGAGACTATACCATTACTAGTTTTAACAGCCCTTGGAACAAGTGACCTTGGAAACTACCACAAGGCTATGTATAACTCGATTCGTACGAGCCACAGCTGCATTAAACTGGATTTGGGTAACTGCAGAAGTGCATGACGGTAGCCACAATAAATTCTTGGTATAATTTTTATCTCTGTGGATACTGATACATAAAGTTGTTGTTTGCTGCTTTAAGTAGTTCCGTTTTATTAATTCTTTCAATTATAAAACCATACAGTACAAAGTATCCCTAAGGATATAATTAAAGCAAAGAAAGCACATTTTATTTTATTTTTCTATGTATTTACTATGAATTTTCTTGCAGGGGTAGGACCAGAGGGCAAACAGGCCTCAACCAGGCATCAGAGTGAAACTGTACAAAGCACTAGATTTGCTTTTTATATTGATAAATAAAAACCTTCCATAAATATCATATAGCACTGAGAACAACTGCCACGGGACACCTGAGGTCCACACAATTCAACTCTCATCCTCTCAGACAAGGTCTACAAGCAAATCCAAATTCAATCTGCCTATTAGAATGCTCTCTGGATGACTTCATATCCCAAACTTGAATGGGAACTGTTTGGAAGAACACTGACCGGCCCAGGCCAAACCTATGACAGCAACTCCTCTGTGGGTGCGTTCCAGTGCTCAGCAAAATTCCTTGGCATCAGTTCACTTAGCATACATAGAATCACAGAATCACTATGGTTGGAAAGGACCTCTAGGACCACCAAGTCAAACATTCATCCCAGAATTTCCCTAACCACTAAGCCATAGCCTCAAGTGCTACATCTACTCGTTTTTTGAACACCTGCAGGCATGATGACTCCACCATCTCCCTGGGCAGCCCATCCCAGTGTCTAACCACTCTCTCATTGAAGAAATTCTTCCTAATATCCCATCAAAACCTTCCTTGGCATAACTTGAGGCCATTTCCCCTCATCCTATCATTAGTAATTTGGGAGAAGAGACCAACACCAGCCTCACTACAACCTCCTGTTAGGTAGTTGCAGAGAGAAATAAGGTCTCCTCTAAGTCTTCTCTTCTCCATGCTAAACAACCCCAGTTCCCTCAGCTGGTCTTCATAAGGCATGTTTTCCAGCTCTCTCACCAGCCTTGCTGCCCTTCTCTGGACCCACTCAAGCACCCCAATGTCCTTCTTACCCTGTGGTGCCCAAAATTTGACACAGTTCTCAAGGTGCAGTCTCACCAGTGCCAAGTCTGGGGCACGATCACCGCACCCTTTCTGATCCAGGCCAGGATGCCATGGGCCTTCTTGGCCACCTGGGCACACTGCTGGCTCATGTTCAGTTGGCTGTCCACCAACACCCCCAGGTCCTTTTCGGCCAGGCAGCTTTCCAGCCACTCCTCCCCAAGCCTAGGGCGTTGCCTCGGGTTGGTGTGACCCAAGTGCAAGACCCAGCACTTGGCCTTGTTGAACCTCATCCAACTGACCTAAGCCCACAGCTCCAGCCTGTCCAGATCCCTCTGCAGAGCCTTCCTACCCTCTAACAGATCAACACTTCCACTCAATTTCGTGTCATCTGCAAATTTACTACGGGTGCACTCGATCCCCTCACACAGGTCATTGATAAACATATTAAACGAGACTGGTCCCAGAACTGAGCCCTGAGGGACACCGCTCGTGACCAGTAGCCAACTGGATTTAACTCTCAATCTCGAAACACTCTCAGTGTTTTGTAAACTCCAATCTGATCACTCACAGTAAAAATCTTTCCTACTCGAAATTTCCTCTGTGCCTTGCTTTTGAAATTTTTAAATTTTTCTGCTATACAAAACTAGCTACCTTCCAATATTCAAAAGATTTGACGACCTATTGGAAAGCTTCACACATTCATGACTTGAAACACAGAAATTAAATTATTATGAGAATATTTCTTGCGAATCCACCTGGACTTGGATAAACCAAAATCCTTAGAAATAACTGCTGCCTCTGCATCCTCAGCATAGTGTTGCTAGACTGGAGGGAGAGTGGAGGAGATTGTGTAAAATGTTCCAAGATCTCTTCATTCTCACTGATCAAACTCCAGACCTGCATGATTTGCACTACTGCTCAAATATCTCTGAATTTTTCAGCCTAGCACTGTGACATGAACACCTCCTGTTATGACTGTTTCATGTAAAATCAAAAATTAAAATGGAAAGTTAAAGGCACAACTAGCCTAGGTTTTCACCCAGAAATCAAGAAGAGAAACACCACCTTATTCAAATACAGAGAAACAAGAAATATGTTAAGAACAATATATGAAGGAACAGGGAAAGAGAGAAACAAACAAGCAAACAGATAGCGATTTGGGTCAGGATGTGAAATAAAAAGGAGAATATGGCCATACTTCTTTCAGTTAATATTTATTCTTTCAGAATAAATAACCACACAAAATCTCACCATGACAGCTAGGTCAAACACTTATACTTAGGAATGCTAGACATCAAAGCAAACATTAGAATAAGAGTACTCAGAAGACTGCAAATCCTGGGACTGACTATGAAACCAGAATGAGGCAGAGATGAAGAGCCAGAAGTAAGGCAGAAATAAGACTAGACTGAAAATAGCCTTGTACATTAGAAAACTGCTCTATGGAGAGATGTGCATAAGCAATCTTAATTCCATCAGATCCTAATTTTTATACCTCATTTTGCATGTTAAATGTTGCAAGCCTTTTTTGCATATATTACACATGTACTGACACAATGCTGCTTATTTGAAGATCAAGTGTTAGTTGCTGACAGAATACTTTAAAGCCCAGTGCACTATATAAAAGCCAGAAAAAAAAACAATCTTACCTTAAACAAACAGCGACAAACATACTCATACACTGTATGTTTCAATGAGTCAATGAGGGAGTTGATTCTTTCCTCAGTACTATCTGAATTCTAAAAAGAAAGTTTGGATGTCAAAAATTCATGTAAAAGTAAAAAAATCTTTTTATGTGCACAGTAAATTTCAGCACAATGACAAAAACAAACAACCTGGACTCTATGTGACATTTACTAGTTCTAAAAACATTATGAACTCAGCTGCAGCTATGAATGATTATATAATGATAAGTTCATGCTGAAGCATTAAGAAATTAATATTTTGGCCTTGAATATTTTGTCTGTGAATGTTACACAACATTATACATAAGGTAAATACACAGAGAATGAGATCGCAGCTTCTTCTCCTAACATTAATGTCCTTGAAATCTTATAGCTTTCAGTTGGTAAAAAACTGCTTCTGTACTGAATTATTATAGCTAATGTTATTAAGCAGCTATGTCGACATTAATTGTAGCTACTGAACTTCCAGTCAAACTTGGCCTAACTGATGTAAATGTTGTAGAAAATAGTAAATATACCTTATCCTTCAAAGGTTACAGACTAAATGACTGATTATAACAGAACAAACTAAAAGAAAGATAAGATGAATGAAGAAAGTGGGGGGGAGAAAAAAAAGGTGAGGGAGGTAACAGGCAGTATTAGAAAGAAGTTCCTTTGCACCATGCTGGAATTTGAAAAGATGAGTTAATAACGGAAGGCAATTAGGATTCACAGGATGATTTGACTAATAAGAAAGCAAGGAAGGCAAAAACAGAAGTTGACCTTTAAACAGGTAAAATAATAGGCAAGAAGAAAAGAAATTATGAAAGAGTGGGAAAGTAAGTACAAGAAATTAGAACCTCATGTTGTGGCAAAGAAGTAACAAGTAAAGAACTTTAAAGAGGGCCAGTCTGCATAGTCAGAACCATGCTCCTGGTAATGACTGGGGCTGAAGGAAACTTGTAAGCACAGATGCCAGAATAAAGTGAAATCCAAAAGTGACATGATGAAAGGCTGGTGATATGCCTTTTTAAGATGGAAATAAAAGGAAATCAAATTAATTTTGGAGACGTTGAATAAACAGAAAATGCATCATTAGTCAATGTGAGCTTTTAGATCTAAGGAAAGAGGTGACAAGGGATATATCCACAATTCTGTGCTTCAGTAAGAAAACTACAGTGGGCATTAAAAAGTATAAATTACATTTTCGACAAGACAGGTTGCACACATGCTTAAAAACTGCATAAAAGTAGACAAAGGTTTGATCTTCCCTCAGGTAACTGAATCATGTAGAAATGTAACAGATTAGATCATTAGTTTATTTAATAGGGCCTTCAGTAAAGTTATAATCAACCTTGGTCTTTCCAATTCAACTTAGAAAGCAAGCCTGAAATTAGAAGTAAGATTTATTTTTATATTTACAGGGATTTTACAATTTATATGTAACATAAGATCCATTACAAATTCCATGTGCACATATTCTGAATATCTACAGCACAGCAGTTCAGCATCACTACTTAGTATACATTTCATCATCAGTTATTACACATCATTTTCTAAAAACATCCAAGCAACTAACAAATTCTAAGGATCAAAGCAGACTGATTCTTCTGCAGAGTGAACAGCTTCAGGAGAAGAGAAAATACCTGCTCGCTGTGCAGAGCTCTTTGGAAAAGCCGCAGGAAAGCCGCCAAACTAAACCGGTACATAGCATTCATTTTGGACAGGTCGGAAATAATGAAGTACATCTTGCTAGCACTCTCAGCTAAAGGGAGATAGGCATCCCTCTCCTGTGGAGACAAAAAGCATGCAGAAAGGAACAGTACATTCCTGCCATCTGCTGGTTATTGCACAAATATGTATTCATCCTACCACAAAAACGTTCAGATGACTCCCACTGCTTTAGAAAATGGAATTCTTTCCAAATCTTCAAATTGAGGGACAATTCTTCAAATTGAGGAACATGCACTCAAAACTTCAACACTGTCTTTAGATTTCAAAATTGCAAGAAGGTATTCTTAGCAAAAAATTCTTTGAATTATGAAGAACCTTTTGGAAAATTAATCCCTAGGGTACTGAGGCCTCCTCCCACAACAGAACATGTCCCAGAATTCAATAGAAAATTAACTAAACTACTAAGAACACAGAAGAAAACTCTTTAATGGGTTACAAAAACAGCATGCCAGATGAATATCATCAACAGTGATTTAAATTTTGGCAATAACAGGGGAAATATTAAGTAAGAGCATACATATGAGCCATACTGTTTGCAACAGCAGATGGCAAAAATAAATTTAAAACCCATTAATTGCCAATAAGACCTTGGGAAAATTTCTTTTAATTCAAACTGGCAGACTTCAAATTGTGTATTCATCCACCACATGTAAAACAAAGGTATTTAACTACTGAAAATACTTTCTGGACTTGCACATCTCAAATATCTTTTACTAAAAAAATAAATTTAGTACGTTACTGACGCTATACTCCTGTGGATGCATATATCCTCTCTATATAGAAGATTACTATTTTTAGCAGGGGAAAGAAAAAGATAAAAAGATTAAAAAGTCAATAAAAGATTAAAATATTCTTCTACCTTGTCAAGGAAACTCTGAAGTCTGTGAGATTCAGCAAGTGATTCTTGGATGAGTGCACTACTTGCTTTAGTCTGATTCAAAGATTCAATCAGATCCTTATTTTCTAGTATATTGCCTTGGGATGTTGCAAGTGTCTGCAGCAAAAGAAGACATCTATGTTACATTAAAAAAAAAAAAAAAACCCAAACACAAAAACATGTCAAGTAACTATTTTGGAAGCTGTCCTTCTTGCTGACCTGTACATACTTCTGAATCATTGAATGCATCAAGAACACTAGAAAGCAGGTAGTTACTCCAAAACATGAAATGTTATTTTCAGGAAGCATAGAAAATAAAATCCAAGAACAAGTTAGAGAAATTCGATTGCCTGGTTCTGAAACTTAAGCTGTCAACACGCTTCTGAGAATGATTTCTATGATTAAAGTCTTACACAACAATATCGCCATGGTCAATGCAAATTCAGAGTTTTTTTTTAGTTTTATTTAAATACCAATTTACCCTGAAATTGGCTACTTGCAATAACTTCTCGCACCCAGTTATTCATAAATTCATTTTCCTTCATGAAGCATTTCTTTCAATATCTCCTATACAAGTTCTGTCTCATTTCCAACTATGATGAATATTCCCAATCACAAGAATCTTAGTTTTTTAACCATGTATCTCTTCAAAATCCTTGAGATTACCCCACATTTATCCCAAATTCTCCTGTGAGAACAATTTCACTTCTAATAAGAAGTGGCAATAGCTTTGATGATTCACTGTCATTTAAGATTTTTTACTAGTCTTCAGTAAGTACACTTCAGTACAACTTTCTAGTCAGACACCACCACAAAACGGGCTTCCTGAAAGTCAAGTTAGTTCTGAACAATTACCTGTAGGACAACATTTCCAGGTAATTGGAGGCAGAGATTAGAATGCTAGAATAGACTTAAAATAGTAGAATGCACTTAGTTCTCTAGTTGAAAAAAGTTTAGGACAAGGCCATGTGTTTTGGCAAGGAGTCCAATTTTGCTATGAGGAATCATAGTGCAAGCAATGAGACAGCCACAGCACATATCTCCCTACCCCAAGGCTTCTGCAAGAAAATTGGTACAAGTTTTCAGAGGGAATGATAAAGGTGCTTTAGGATTAACTTGAATTTAACTAGATACCTCCAGCACTGACTTCTTTGCTGACAAAGCCCATGCAGCACCTGTCAGTTTCCACTGAGCGTTAGGTTTCTTCATTCAGGGTCAAGGAGCAGGCTGATTTTTGGGCTAACAGGAATGCAATATATAGCAATAACACGTGCGTAAGATTTTGTAGTTCCAAGATCACACCTGCATGTGTGAAAAGTCTGTTCTAAAAAGTGGACATTTTTTTGTTGCACCTCTGAACTCTCAACTTCTGGAAGACATTAAGATGCTAAACAATGATCAACTTTGAAGATGGAGTTCTTTTAGAGAACAAGTTTTCCTCAGCCTGTAAGAGAAATCTGTCCCATCACAGTTGAAAAAAATATTTTGAGCTTAGTGTTTGAGACGCAATAGGGAGTTTAACAGGGACAGTAAATGTGGAAGTTCAAATCATGTTAGATAATTATGTGCAAAATTCTAAAATTGAAACACAAATGACCAGGTTTTTTTTGAGGAATCTGTAAAAATGATTAGTTTATGCTCAAGTCCATTGTGATGGATACTACAAAATTCAGTGGCTCAGCTACAGACTGAAGGTTTTGAGACAACACATCAATCTCCTGCATCTATGACATTTTAGGGAAAAAAAGGAGGATTCGAGGATCCATTTCTTGGGCATGATGTACAGTTTCTGTAAAATACATGACAAGATGAAAGCAAAAAAGAAAACAGTCCTCTTCCTTGGAAGCTACCTTTCCTTTAGAGGTATACAACTGTTTCTGAGCAAAATTACTTTCATTAAAATAAAAAGGTAAACAGAAAATTGAGACTATTAATTTTAAATACTAGAAAGGGAAGTGTAATTATGAAGTCTATTACAGTTCATTGCTAATAATAAACAGCTGTGGATGTTTAAAGTTTTGAACATCTCTCTCAACAAATCTTTCCACTTAGATTTTTTCTTTCAGTTTTTTTTTCCTTTCACAACACAGAATCATTTCTCAGGTTCAGAAAGTATCATTTTCACAAGATTAAAAACGTGGCTTGCTTTAAACTCATAATTTGAAAAATAAGATAGTATTTTTTTAAAGTTTTATCTTTTTTAATATATTCAAATTAATGAAATTCCTAATCAAGCTAAACCAGCTATATCTAGCCCAGAAATAAAAACATCCAACTTTGATATGCTTACTGTATTGAAATACTACAGTTTCATAACAGATGTAAATATTTTATCTACTTTATTCTCCCAACAACCCCAAGCAAATAATGCTTTTATTTTCTCAAATCAAAAATTCTGAGGGCTCATTGTTCCAACATTTTCACCATCTTCATTCAAACACGTAACAATATTGATGCTATCTTACTGGTCTAACAGATATAAAAGAGGTAAATTAATTTCACCTCCAAGAGAGTTTCCTCAAGCTTTGCTAACTGTATCTTCTTATCTTCTTCTTGTTGTAACAGTTTTGTCTTCTGCTCTTCCAAATCAGGCTTTTCATGCTGAATAGTTAAAGCCAAAAGCTAAAAAGAAAGGTGATTATTCAACAGGATAAAACCCAATCTAATATTTCATAATATATTTTCATTAATGAGATATATATATGCATTAATCATACAGCACATATTTTTGAAAGTAGACTCCTAAAGGTTTACTTAGTTGCACCAGACATCCAACAGCTCTAAATCTCTGTAGACACTGAGGACACTCTGCAGTGGCACCAGGAACTACTGTGAACAATGCCCTCGTGTATAACAGCAAATTCAAGTCAGGTAGGATGCTCAAGGACATCTCCAAAGGCACTGGATCACCTTACTGAGGACATTGATTCACACCCTTTTATGCTGAGAGCTAAACCTTTGCCCCTCAATCTGAATCACATCCATGTTTAAATGACTGGCAGTTTTCATCAGTGAATATACTGTTATCAGATATAAAAGGAAGTAGGTGCTAGAAAGCACAAACTGGAGAGGATGGCAGTGAATTTCTTTCCAGTAAGTCTACCAAAAGTCAAACCCCTCTACTGCCAACAAAGAGAAAACAAAAAACAAAGCTTTTTCTTTTCCTGTATTTCCACTTGGAGGAGGATCAATTCACTCAGCTACACCGTATGATGTTGGCTCCCTGTCTCCAGGGGAGGGAGGTTATCTGTGCTTCACATTTTGAATTTTACTTATCAACATCTTATTTACAACCCATTCTAAGTCTCTTGTTAGTTGGGAAAAACTTGTTTCATACCAAACAAAGGGGTTTTTTCCTCCCTTAATCTATCTGTTTTCTTTTTTTCCCCTCTCTCCCACCTGCACACTACATTTTGCTTCCTAAATATTACAAAAAAGAAACACAAAAGCTACTAGCACTTTGGAGGTAAAATATATAGCTTCTTGATTTCAGTATGGTTTTCCTGTACACAATGTAACCTGATGCTAGCATTACTCTGTAACTAGGGCACTGGAGAGCAATAACAAAAATGTTTCCATTGTACCATAAATGCACCTTGAGCAGAAAAGAGGAGCTTAGGTATTCATCTGTTGCAACTGAAGCCAATGAGACAATTTCTGCTTTCTCTATTGGACTCACTGCTTGGTTCCGAAGTGTATAAAACCAAGATTTTAAAATTTAAAATTAGTTTCAGCATCGATTCTACCACTTATCTTTGTGTGCTAGAAAATACCTCTGCGACGATTAATGCAAAGTGCACCACAGGGCTTCTTGCAGAAGCTGGATGAAGCTATGAACGCCTGTGGTACACATACTGCTTTTATTTTAGATGCCTACCTGTCCTCTTAAGCCACTTCCTGTTGTGGTAAAGTTTACTTCTGTAACAAGAGAAGCAGCATCGGGTGGAATTAAGGGATTTGGGTTCCTTGTCGACAGAAAAAGACGGAACTCTTCATTATAATCGACCATCTTTTCACCTATTTGTATGGCATAGCGGGGCCCTGTAAACAACAGACAGATGTTGTACTCACTCTGATTGGAACAGTCCAGAATTCACTGAAAGTAATGCTATTTGTGGAATACTTTATGACCAATAGAAGCAAATATATTTTATAAAACCTGTTTATAAATTGTTTGGAAAACTGTTTAAAAATTCAAGGATTACAGCTTAGTCTGCATTGTTAGACAGAAAAAAATAAAATAATACAGCAATAATGTAAGAAAGTTACATAGTGAGAATAATCAATATTCCATAATAGTCCATATTGAAATATCCCATAAATATGTCTTATTATAAATACAGTTAATTTAATCACAATATGAAAGAAACCATTTCTTAAATTTCTGCTGTCATGTTGAATCTCTCTTTATACTTCTAATATTTTGATATTTCTCACTATGCCTGTCACAGAATGAAAGTATATATATGGCCTCTCACCAACCTCCTTCCACCACAGGTTTCCAGTCTAACAAGGTCAGAAAAGAAGAGACTCAACCAAGACACAAAACTAGAGTTGCCTCCTCATACAAAAAAGAACAAAGAAGAGAATTATAAAAGTTTTAAAGTGAAACTTTCCAGAGAAATTTATGAGGGGGCATAGTTAGGTGCTTCTCTGTTTTTAGGATTAGAGGCACATCAGAATTGCTCTAAGTATACACGTCTTACTAAAACACTGGTAGAGATGAAAATCACAGACCAACGCTGCCTCTGTGCCAATGATCAGAATAAATTTTAGGCCTACACTGTAAAAACATGAAATTTTTTCTAAAATGAAAAAATTATTACAGTATATATAGACATTGTTCTTAATGTTTCACTGCAAGTAATTACAGAACCATAGAATCATTAAGGTTGGAAAAGACCTCTAAGACCATCAAGTCCAATTGTTAACCCAACACCACCATGACTACTAAACCATGTCCCCAGGTGCCACGTCTACACGCCTTTTGAACACCTCCAGGGATGGTGACTCCACCACTTCCTTGAACAGTCTGTTCCAATGCCTCACTACTCTTTCAGTAAAGACATTTTTCCTAATAACCAGCCTAAACCTCCCCTGGTGTAAGGGGGAGCCCACTTCCCATAAAGCCCATGTTCTCTAGTCCTATTTCTAGTTGGAAGAAGAGACCTACACCCATCTCCAACCTCCTTTCAGGTAGTTGCAGAAAGCAACAAGGTCTCCCTTGAGCCTCCCCTTCTCCAGAATAAACAGCCCCAGCTCCCTCAGCCACTTCTCCTAAGACTTGTTCTCTAGACCCTTCATCAGCTTCATTGCCCTTCTCTGGACCCGCTCTAGCACCCCAATGTCCTTCTTCTAGTGAAGGGCCCAAAACTTATCCCAGTACTCAAGCTGTGGCCTCACCCGTGCGGAGTAAAGGGGGACAAAATCACTTCCATAGTCCTGCTGGCCACACTATTTTTGATACAGGCCAGGATGCCATTGGCCTTCTTGGCCTCCTGGGCACACTGCTGGTTCATATTCAGCTGGCAGTTCAACAGCAGCCCCAGGTCCTTTTCCACCAGGCAGCTTTCCAGCCACTCCTCCTGAGGCCTGGAGAGTTGCCTGGGGTTGGTGTGACCAAAGTGCAGGACCCAACACTTGGTCTCGTTGAACCTCATGCAGATGACCTCAGCCCATCAATCCAACCTGTCCAGATCCCTCTGCAGAGCCTCAAAACCCTCAAGCAGATCAACATTCCCACTCAATTTGGCGTTATCTGCAAACTTACTGAGGGTGCACTCAATTGCCTCATCTTGATCAATGACAAAAGATGTGAAACAATACTGGCCCCAAAACTGAGCCCTAGGGAACACCACTTATGACTGACCACCAACTGGATTTAACTCCATTCACCACAACCCTCTGGGTCCAGCCTGCCAGCCAGTTTTTAATCCAGGAAAGAGTCCACCTGTCTAGGCCGTGAGCCACCAGCTTCTCCAGAAGAATGGAAGACAGTGTCAAAGACCTTACTAAGGTCCAGGTAGACAACATCCACAGCCTTTCCCTCATACACTTGGCAGGTCACCTGGTAATAGAAGGAGATCAGATTGGTCAAGCAGGATCTGCCTTTTTGAACCCATGCTGGCTGGGCCTGATCCCCTGACCATCCTGAACATGACATGTGAGTGTACTCAAGATGAACCGTTCCATAATCTTCCCCATTACCAAGGTCAGGCTGAGAGGCCTGTAGTTCTCTGGATCCTCCTTCCTGCCCTTCTTGAGGATGGGCATCACACTGGCAAGTCTCCAGTCATCTGGCACCTCCCCTTTTAACGAGGGCTACTGATAAATGATGGAGGGAGGCTTCACAAGTTCTTATGCCGGCTCCCTCAGCACTCTCCGGTGGATCCCACCTGGCTCCATAGATTTATAAGTGTCCAGGTGACATAGCAGGTCACTAACTGATGTAGAGTCATCATAAGCAAAATAATCCAGACCAACGCCCACCTCCACACTTTGACAAAGAGAAGGAGTGCGTGGTTGCTCTCCCTTCTCAAAAAACAACTCCCTGGTTTGGACTTGCACAGACCTAGCATTAATTTACCTCATTAACATGCAGAAAATGATGTCTGAGTGTTATGAGCAATTTACGTGAATAAATTACTATATTTTAATTTAATCTGCTTTCTCCAGAGTTCTACAAACCTTTTCATCTCTTCATTCGATCCCTTGAGTAAAATCCATTAAGAAGCCTATAATATTCTATCTCTACTTTTCAAAGCTCAGCACAAGCTAGTGAAAAAAACCAGCTGTAAAGATGTTCTACCTAACTGCCTACAGATCCTGCAGATCTCCGATTACCACTTAGGTGGTGCCCTCAACTTTTACCAAGGATAAACAAGCAAGCACATCTATTATCAAAGAACAGTAAAGCATTTGATTTATTTTTGTCTTGTGTTTACATTTAAGAATTACTGCTACCTCACCTATTGCTATCTCAATATTAGATGAAATGACAGCAAAAAAGGGTCTTGAGCTATGTTCAGTGCCCAGAGTTTATACTGTAAATTACATCCCCAGGCTGTAGTACATGCTGAGGAATTAATGTTTTATGCAGAGATATAAATACGAAAGATAATGTAAATATATATATTAATTACAATAATTTAGAAAGTATTAAAACATATATTGTTGTATTTTTTAAATCCTCTCAGTTCTTTCAATATAATTTCAAAATATACAACATAACTCAATATAACTCATGCTGAGACACTTATATCATTACTATTTATCTGTTAAATTTTCAACACAAATTTTCGTATCAACCTTTTTAATGAAACTAAATGCAAAGCAGTTATACAGTTATATAGAGTACACTAGGTCTCCAAAGCAGAGATATTTTAAAATGTAAATGGTGTTTTTTTTTTCTCATCATTGCATCAGTTAGGGAGACTCCTTTCACCAAATTCCATGATTTTACTGATCTCTGTGACCACTTCCCTCATCTGGTCACATCAGGGACAGACCTGTGTGCCACCTTTAGTTTCAGACCAATGAAAGAGAAACAGCAACACCAACGTTCTAAAACTCTGATTTCTAACTGCACAACAAGTTGTATAAATTCTGTTCTACTTAAGGCTCAAGTTCTTAAGTAAAATTCTGTGTTTGAAAATATCACTAGAAATCAATTTACAATTTCACTTATGAAGAGGTGATAAAAACACTTTATTCTAATTGCAGTCAAAAACTCTTTAAATACTTTTCAGTATTTTTCCACTTACTAAACAAGAACATATCTTCAACTGATTTCATGCACTGAAATGTTAGCAGCAGGTTAATGTTGAAGAGGAGAATACTATACAATACTCATGTTTTCAGAAAAAAACAAGTTTTATATGATACATACAGAGATCTAACCTACAAAAGTTTTGAGCAAGCATTTGGAAATATCCCTATCATTTACCTTGAGCAACAAGATCTCTTCGTAGCAATGGGTATAGTACAGGCTCCACTCCATCCACTTCCTGTATAATAAGTGTCTTCCCAAATCTCACTGCCAGCTCAAGGGCTGTTAGGAAGTTGGTGTCCTGAGCAAATAAAAATAAGTTACTTTGATTCACACTTTTAAAAAATATTAACTTTGGAAGAAACAGGAAGGCATTATGGCAGGAGTTTAAATCTAAAAAGTCAGTAGCATAGCTGAAAAATTCTACTATTCTATATTTCAGGGTTTAGCCATAAGTGTTTAATTTAAATAAATTTGATCTATTCAGCTGCTGACACACAGGCAATCTATTTAACATGCCCAGCTCTCCAAGCACTGTACTAGAAGATGACAAGTGTAGCACAGGTCTTGTGTCACATCTGTCAGGTGCACCTGGACGTCCTGGCTAGTTAACACATCTCAAATGTTATTAGGTAGCCATGTCTCAAAGCAGAATCAAGACCTAAGAACTGTATTCACATTGCTGTTGGGACATCTAAAAGCAGTTTTGGCATGCAGAAGTCTAAACAGGCATGTGGTGTTTAAGAGTCCATTATAGTTAATGGAGGTCCTGGACAATGAAGACAACAGTGCCTAAAAGGTCAACCAAGCCAATCAGCTAGCAGTGGAAGCATTCAATAACACAAAGATCTGTATCTATTACCATCAGGAAGTATTTATGAGGACTGCACAGAGCTGGCAGGGATCTGTGGAAGACCTAAATCCTGTTAGAGCAGTATCTTGAGGGTTCAATAAGGGACATTTGCATGGCACTAGATGTCTGTCTATGTGCAGCTGAGCCAAGTCTCACCAGTCATGATAACAGTGACCTGTTGACAACTAATCTTACGTACCTTAATCTCACAATAAAATCCAACCTACTATTTCCAATGTAGGTAATATAGCACAGAAGTCATAGGCAAGAAGTGTAAAAACTGCAACCAAGGATACCAAAGACCTCTGTGTTCACAAATCTGTTACAATCTCCCTCTTGGCAGGAAATACCGATATTCTTAGAGACAGCAGCACATAGGCAAACTCACATAAGTAATACCAGACGTTGACTCTCCAATTTTAAACACCCTGATCTCCTTCTTGAGTAAATACACTTTCAGTACCGTTTGTAACCTAGCGCTCTGTGAGAAATTATATGCTTCATGGAATATAACCCTATTTTTTGTGATTGTTAACAAACCCCTTTAAAACTGCTCTCTAATGTCTTGAACAGGGCAAGCTCAAGCAGAACAGAACTGTAAGACCAAGAGTAAATACTGCACCTGTTGGTTAATAACTTCCAAACGCGATTCCTTCAAATGCGTCTTCAACCATTCAGTAGCTCGGAAAGAAGGGTCTATCAAAAATGGGCAAACTTTACTCTAGGGGAAACAAAAATAATATATATGTATATATTTACTGAAATCTATGATGCTTAAGAATAAAATTGAATGGACAACTTTTTTATTACCCCAAACTAATGGTATAGTAATCTCAGATTTTTTTCTTGTTAACAAACTGTTCAAAGAAACAAACAACAAACTACAACAAACAGTAGAAGGAATTTTATGTCTGTCTGTCTTTTTTTTTTTCTCAAAAAAAAAAAAAAAAAAAAAAAAAAAAAACCCAAAAACAAAATTCACAAGGA